CGGGATGCGGGAGGACACGCGGGGCGACCCGTGCCCATCGCCCCCCCTGGCAGACAAAGCGCTCGCCCCTTCCCTCCTCGGGCGATTAAAACCTTCAGAAGGAAAGAAAGAAAATAATAATCATAATAATAAAAAAAAACAACCACAAACCCCAAAACTACCTTTTTTTTTTTTTTTTTTTTTTTTTTTTTGCGGGCTCGGAAGGGGCGGTAAAGGCTGGACAAAGGTGCGGGGCTCTGGCGCACCGTGATCCGATTTATAACGCCAGGCAGGTAACAGAAAATAAACGCAGCTCGGAATGGCTCTTTTCAATCAAAGAACCTTTGGCATAATATATCAATTCAAACCCGCAATGCTTTCTTTGTTTTTTTTTTTTTTCCTTCATGGAGGTAAAACAGTGAAATTACAAAAAGCAGCTAAAATTTTTTAAAAGGTCAAAAAAAAAAATCAAACAAGCAACCTTTTTCCAGTTCAGTAACTATTAAACAACGGGAAGAACCAGCAAACATATCCTAAAGCTCTTAAATACCCAAATGTTACACCGACAATTAATTTTTGGTGCATCGTGTTTTAAGTTAAAGCATTTGCATTCAAATATCAAACAGTAATTCTGTGCCATAACAAGGTACAGTAACTTCATTATAAATTGCCTTGCAGAACAGGATAAGATAAGAAATACAGTTCCAACCACAATTAATTTTACAGCAACATAAAAGGAAAAAAAATCTAATAAAGAGAAACAGCAGCAGGAAACATTTTGAACATTTCTGATTCGTCATTTACACATCATTTTGCCTGGAAAAGCAGGAAAGCTCGAAGTTCTAGAAAAGGACTCAAACAAAACTTCAGCGTTTCTTTGCAGCAGTTACCAACCATCAGGACACGCAACCATTTTATTCTCGCAGTTTATTTTTCACCTCTTAAGATCCAACCTGTCTCCTGGCTTTTTTTTTTTTTTTTTAAATAATTATTACTATTATTTTTCGCTTCTTATTTTTTTTTCTCCTCCTTTAATTTGTCCCCCCTCTCTCCCGTGCGTCCATAGAGCACATTTCCAAGATTAATCGTTCAGTTTTAAACTTGGAAGCATGAGGCATGCTGGGATTTCAGCTGAGGTCAAGCACCAATGTACCGAGCTGTTACTGTTACGCTCTCAGGGTACTCTGTGTTGCTCTCAAGAAGGGGGAAGTCAAAAAAAAATGAGAGATGCTCTATCCATTGGCCTGCAGTTCTCCCTCCACATGAAAACACAGTATTAATATACCTACACATATAAATATATATATATATAGGGTTTTATTTACCTACATACATATTCATCCACACGTAGCATCCATATGTGCATCTCTCCCCACACCTCACTAGCTGTATTTACATGCATCCATATCATGTATATCTTATCTGCACACGCATATATAATAATCACTATATGTGTACACACATACACCCCCATATCTGTATCAGCTGGAAAATTATCTCGTGAATATACACACACACACACAAAAATCTCTGTCATACAAACGCTGGCTTTAATTTGATTTTTTTTTTAACAGTAAATGGCCATAACCACCGCCCTACTCTCAGCCAGCCTAAGGAGGAGAGATACACTTATTTTTTCCCTTAAAAGGTCTATAAACACTATTGTATGTGTGTGTATACGGCTCTATATATACACACGCGCTCACACACATATACACACAGAGAGAGAGGATATATTTATAAAATAAAATAAAGATGTCAAAGCACAACTCACAGCTCCCAAGAGCCTAACCCGTGGATTTAAAAGCTAAACATCACAAGTTAGGGTCTCAGGGATTGAGAGGGGCGCAACAAACTATTCCTTGCAAAGAAATAAAAAATAAAATTTGAAAAACAATAAAAACAGGGATCAAAAATTAATAGTAATTTTAAAAAAAAAGGATAAAAAGGAGAAAGAGGAAAAGAATAGCAGGCAAGTTCAATTCATGGCTCAAGATTACAAAACAGGACACACAGGTGGAAGGAAAGAGCTTCTCTAAGGACCCTCTGTTGAGAGAATACATTCCGGTTTTAATCGTTTATACGAGAGAAAAATAAAACATGACATGGCGCGGCAGGTTCCTTACAGCTCCCAACAAGGTCGCTTGCGACAAATACACGAAAAAGTCTCCGCATTTAAATAACGAAGAGGAAGTTTGGGGCAGTGACGGAATTATTTTCATTGTTTCAACGAGAAGGAATGCAGAAATAAGAGCAGGAATCTGCAGGCTCGCTCCCGGCCCCTGGCACAAAGCGTGCAAAAGCAGCAGCAAGGCGCTGCCTCCCCGCCCCCTCCGCCAGCCCCGGGGATGGAGAAGGAAAAAAAAAAAACCCACAAAAAAAACGAAAAAAAAAAGCAAAAAACCCGAGTCGCCACAAAATCAGGTAGAAACTCACCATTTGGAAGCTGGGGGGGGGAAAGGCTCCGATCTCCAGCGCTGAGAGCAAAGGGGGGAACCCAGCCCGGCGGTGCGGGGCGGGAGGGTGGGAATGGGGCAGTGCCGCACCGGGGTCGGTGCCCGGCGGGGTTTGACACCCGAGCGGGTGCGGAGCGTGCAGGGTGTGCGCAGCCAGGGGAGGGAGCGAAGGGAGGGCGGGTGTGTGCAGCTGGGCAAGCCGCTGGCATTTTTAAAACATCTCTCTTTTATATATATATATGAAAAAAAAATAGAGGGGGATATATCAAGGAAAAAAAGGGGGATAATAATAATAATAAAAAAAAAAAAAAGCGGGTGGCAGGGTGGGAGGGTTGGGGATGGGGGGGGAGGAGGGAAGGAAAAGGAACCAAATTCCTCCGCAGCTCTCTCTCTCTCTCGCCTGCCGCCCTCCGCGCTCCCACCAGCTGCTGCTGCCGCTGCTGCTGTTGTTATTATTATTATGATGAAGAGACGGGGGCTGGGGGCTGCGGGAGCCGGGGCCAGCCCGGTGCCGGAGCCGAGCCCCCAGACTGTCAGCGGGGAGGAGGAGGAGGAGGAGGGAGGGAGGGAGGGAGGAAGGGCGCGGGCAGCAGCGCCGCAGCCCCGGCCGCCCTCCCCTGCCAGCCGCCGGCCGGGGCTTCAAAGGAAAACCTGGAGAAAAACCCGCTTCGCCGGGAGAGGAGGGTCCGCAGCCCCGCACACACACACCCACACACACACACACACACACACACACAAAGGGACTCCATCCTGCACCGACTCCTCTCTCCGAGCACCTTGTGCACCCCCAGCCAATGGAAATTTACGCCGGCCATAACCCAGAGCAGGATTTCGTCCCCAGCTTGCCACCTCCTTCCCTCCGCTCTTCTCTCCCCTTCCCTCCCTCCCATTCCTCCCTCTCTTCCCCCCCTCCCGAACCCTCCACCCCCACCCCCGCCCAAATAAATAATACGGATCCGCACCCTCCACCCAGCTCTGGAACCGCTTTAGGCCCAGCGGCATAAGCGGGGAGAAGAAGCCGAAACGTACCGGAGGGCCCGAGGTTAAAAATGCAAAATATCCGGCGCTGCCGAAGGCAGGTCCCCCCCGGCCCCGGCCCCGCCGCCGCCCGGCCGGGGGCAGCGGTAACAGGCACCATTACGGAACCATCATCATCACCATCATCATCATTCACTCCGTCCTTTTCTCACCTCAGGAGTCTGAGCCCATTCACCAAAGTCCTTCCTCGTCCAGAAGCTCAAATATTTTCCTTTTTTTTTCTTTTTTTTTTCCCTTTTTTTTTTAGTTTTTTTTTTTTTCTCCTTCTGGATCAGCCAGTCCCGACATCATTAAACTATAGTCCTCCTCTTCCTCCTCCTTCCTTCTCCCCCTCTCTGTCTCCCTCTCCCTCTCTTTTTTTTTTTTAATTTCAAAAAGGGGGAGTGTGTGGGGGGGTGGCTGGGAGTGTGGGGGGGAGCAGACATAGCTGCATGAAGTGGCTGCCTTTTCGAAAGCACATTTAATCTTTCCTGGCTCCCCTAGGCTTCGATGAAGTAGAAGGGAAAGGAGAGGAGAGGGGGAAAGAAAAAATCCAGGCAAGGGAGGCTGTTGAGGGACAGCAAGCATCAGGCTCAAATCAACGACCAGATGAAAATGTACTAGACCACACTGCCCCCTCTCTTCCTCTCGCTCTGTCTCCGTCTCTCTCACACACTCTCACTCCTGGAAAGCTTCAGTGTCTGGTTACAGACTCTTTTGGATCCTTCCCCCCACCCTCCCCACCCTCGCCCTTTGCCAACTATCCTAGAGATTCCTTGCATGCCTACTTAAATCTTTAACAGAATAAGGACCCGGCTCCCCCCGCCGCCAGCCCCGCACACACACACACACACACACACTCTCACACACACCATTCCCGGTCACCCCTCCCCAATAATCTCTTAAGCTCCCGGGAGAAACCCGCCGGCGCATCCCCGTCCCCGCCGCATCCCCGCCGGGTACCAGCCCCGGGACCCTCCGGGCAGCCGCTCCCGCCCCACGCCGCCTTCCTACGGGGGTGCCGGGGGGCTGGAGGGGGAAGGAGAGGGGGAAGCGGAGGGGCTGCAGCCCTTCGCCTTGCATCCCTCCGGCTGGCTCTGGATTTTAAAACAATAAAATCCAGCGCTGCTGCTGCTCTCCCGGGTGCCCCCCGCTTCCCCCCTCCCCTCCCGTCCTCCGCCACGCCGCAGCCGCCCGTGGAAATCGCACGCCCCACGTCTGCAGTGAGGCAGGGCAGACTGCCTGGCTCATGCCCGTGATGACTTTAGAGCTGACAAGCTCCTCTCCTCGACCCCCCCTCCTCTCCTTCCCCTCCACACCCACCCCTCCGCTCAATGGCAGCACCGCTGCCTCTCGCACCACACTGTATTTGCAATATGTGCTAATTTACCAGCTATATGCCCTTGGATTTTAAAATGAACTCATCAGTCAATGTTTCTAGTAGCGATGCTCTCTCTCCCTCTCTCCCTCACACACACCCTCCACTGCAGACATGTTACTCATTCTCCAAGCATTTCCTCCCCGAATGTCCGTCAGACGCATATACACTTCATTGATCAAACCAAATCCCCTGATAACAATAAATAATAATACAGACAGTTAACATCAGCGGGGAGCAGAGCGGGGAGGGGGGAGAGACAAAGATGACGACTAAATCTGCATTGTGCTTTAGGAGGCTGATCCCTGCGTTTCCCAGGGATGCTCCACACACACAATGCAGGTACCCCCGAGGCGAGCACACACCTCGTCCTGGGGGCCTTCCTGAGACACCCCCCCCACCCCACCCCCCCAGTTTGCCCAAGCTTTCAGGCTGGTGATTTCTAATACCTGAATCCACACAGGCTCCAAAAGGTGCTTGTAGGAACAGAAGGTGCTTCTGGCTGTGAAGCACCTACCACAAAATCCAGCGATAAATAAAGGCAGCCTCTTTGTTAGGCTGTGCACTGCAGAGACGCTGAGGAATTAAAGGTATCCGGGCATCCAGAGACCCTGGGATGGGTCCAAGGGATTTTTAGAAACACCTTCTCAGCTCCCACTGAAATCTGTTCCCTTTGTACTGAAGACAGAGAGCACCTATGCAAGAAACCAGGTTAGGAAGACGGGCTATTAAACATCCCTCTGCTACACGTGCCGGGTATTTCAAGGGCTTTAGGGTTTCTGTGGCTTTATTTCCCAGTTTTCTGGGGCTGAAACAGGGGAGGCAGGAGACTGGGATTGCCTCTTGGGGTTTTGGCTAGTTAGACATCTTGTGTGGGTCTGGCAAAGGGAAAGTGGCTGCAGTGTAAGTGTTCGGGAAGTTGGGGAGGGTGGGGCTATCTAGAAATCTTTGACTCACTGGGGTAACTCCCTGAGCACAGGAATCAAATTATTGCTCAAAGCAAACTGCATTTTATGAGCAGCAGCCTCAGAATGAAATTCTGCATGCACACAGCTAAAATAAACATATGGAAATAAATATACAATACATAATTAAATTATTGGGTGCAATGCAGAAGTCCCTGGGTGATGGAAGAGGTGGGATTATGCAGCAAAGTCAGTCTGGGAATCCACAGATACAAATTTTCTTATTTATACCAGCATAATCCTGATTGGCATCAGCCTAGATAGGGGAAGAATCCAACCCTGTGTACTGAAGGATCTAATCTTTGGGAAAAGTAGACTGGATCAGAGGCTGTATCTGCCAACCATCCTTTCACTGCCTTTAGATTCCCTCACCATCACAGCGATATTCTGCCATCACACAGAACATTTCGCATCCATTGTCTCCTTCCACTTCTCTTATCTTCCTTCCAAAAAAAAAAGTTTAATTTTTTAAAGTTTTGTAGCAAACACATAATTTCTTTACACGATTTAACCAAGCCTTTGGAGGATACTTATTTCAAGCAGTTAACACCTGACCCCAATTTTTGTGGGTAATTAGTGAGCTAGATAACCACACAAAGTGGGTAATTATTTAGTACCCAAGGGTACTGTACAAGAGGGTAGAGGCTGGCAGTGTGAACAAAAGCACATCCCTAATTATTGTATCCATACTGGGGATGTTTTAAGAATAGTTACTCCATCTAATGATCCATGATAAATCAGTAAACTATTTTGCTTCCCTTAGCATTGTATGCAAGGGATGACCAAGGGCAGGATGTGAGGGCAAAGCAAATGGAAGCCCCAACTTCAGTATGTTCAAGAGAAGCAAGAGGCATCCACTGGGAGAAGGAAGTAAGACTGGAAGTGCCTGCTCTAGAACAGCCTAATAACCATCCCTGATGGGTAACAGGTTGGTTGGGATGGCTTGAAAAGCCACGTAGGAAGCTTGTAGGGCCCTGGCTCAGGGTCTGCTTCTTGCACAGGTAACGTGGCCACGCTGATGGATCTTTGTGCACAACAATAACCTTAATCATGTCTTAACAGAGTTCACTCTTGCTCACTGAAAAGCAATTTAAAGCTGTACAAATGAGGTGTCTTGCGTTTGGGGCAGCTCAGAGATGCCAGAGAGTAGCACTGGGGGAGGGGGGGGAAGAAAATCATATTTGATGAATTTCAATCCTCTGTTGCCTCCAACATTTATGTTGCAACAACCCCGTTTCTCCCATGGAAAATATTACATCCTCAGTTGATTTTTTTCCTCAAATTTAAGAAGGAAGAAACGTGAATCACATTGAAATATAAACCAAATAAGAAAGATTCAGCTGTCAAATTCATACAAATATCTCCAAGGTGGGTGCCAAGAGGGTGGTGCCAGACTCTTTTCAGGGGTGCCCAACAACAGGACGAGGAGCAGTGGCCATAAAGTAAAACACAACAAGTTCCATCCCAACATGGGGAAGAATTTAGGGTGGCAGAGCACTGGAACAGCTGCCCAGGGAGGGCGTGGAGTCTCCCTCTCTGGAGACATCCCAACCCCATGTCCCTGTGTCACCTGCTCCAGGTAACCCTGCCTGGGCAGGGGGGTTGGACTGAGTGACCCCAGAGGTCCCTTCCAACCCTGACTGTTTTGTGACTGCGTGAAAAAACGTTGGGTTTAGATCAGCAGAACCACAGGATAAGTGTTATGCTGGAAACAGCAGCACACACTCACTTTAGGGCATCTTCAAGCCATTACACTCAGAGGAAAAGCACTTTCCTTTTTTAATTGCTTTTATGAATCATCACTGACATCCAGACACTTCATTTACTAGAGTCCAGTAACCTTGTTTTTCAAAGGCTCAAATTCCAAAACCTTAAGGGCCTCCGGGCTGGCACAAAAAAAACCCAAAAAACAAAAAACCAAACCAGAGGTGTCATTCTAGTTTGATCACAGCAATTAACTCAGCCTGGTGCTTTGGGATCACCCAAGCCAGGCACTCCAGAAGAAAACACAACTGGCAGCATCACCTGGCCCTGTGACCATCAGGAATTTAAAATCTAAACAGAGAATGTTTGAGGGGTTTCCACAACTCCTCATATTTCTCTATTGTTCTGTGGTTGGGTTGGTTTTTGTTTTGTTGGTGTGTTTTTTTTTTGAGTGAAATAACCACAACTGAAAGAGGCCTGAAAATTGTTCTTATGTTTCAAAAGGGGCCAAGTCTCGGCAGCTCGTTTATAAATAAATATAAATAAATTGGTCTCCCCCTCACTGATCCTCTCAGGGACCTGGTTTGCAGGAAAAGTTCTTGTAGAAATGCAGTGAGAGCAAGTTTGCAGAGAGAAGCTGGAAAACAGAAAGGAAGAATGAATTTAGTCACAGAGAAGGGATCAAAGCAAGAAGAGACCTTGGTAGGTGCACAGTTGGAGCAGAAAGCAGAGAAAATACAAACTATTACTAATTTTTTTTTCCTCAGATCAATTGGAATTAGCAATTCATAGGAGAAGGAATGTTCAGCCAGGGAGGAAGCTTTAGGGACTTAAGCATGAACTATAAAACCTTAAGGCCTTTTTGAGACAAGTCAATAACTTCACTCCAGGCAAACTGTACAGAGATTACTTAAGAAATATCTTTAAAATAACACAGCTCAGCTATAGGGACAGAATACATGAAAATAGTTTACAAATTAATAAAATGCCTTCAGGGGAGTAAAAAGCATTTACTAACACAAGTGAAGGATTCTAATGATGTGGGGAATGGTACAAATTCACAGTGTGGGGGCACATCCAAGGACAGCAAAACTGGGCAGAGGTGTCACGACTGGGATTATTTCCAGAACATCACCCCACAAAGTGAGGAGCCTGACAACCAAAATTTGAGCCTTGCTCTTTTGTAGACCACTGGCCAGTTCCACATCAAGTCAGTGATAAAATCACTTCTTACCTTGCTTGCCCATAATCCAGAACCCCCACAGCAACGCTCACCGTGCCCTGGGAGTGATCGAGGTCCTTGGCAGAGAGCTGCTGTGTCCAGACTGCTTTTGTCATCCCCATCTGATGCCCTGTCAGTCAACAGAGAGGATGGAGTGTGGTTGAATTCCATTTCACCACCACCAATTCCTTTTATCCTGACTCACCCACCAGCTTTCAACTCCAAACCCAACGCCACCCTGACAACAACACAGCTTAAAGAGCGGTGGTTGTATTTTCTCCCCATTCCCCAGTTCTGAAAACAGGTTCTCTTTGAGCTCCAACTCTATCAGTCCCTGGATAATGGAGAACAGTTGAAATAATAAGGTGAAAAAGCCATAAAAGAACTGATTTCCAAGGAAAAAAGCAAACAGGCAGTGCTGTTCCCCTCCTGGGAAAGGCCCTGGGACACTGCACCACTTGGGACCCTCACTGAAACCCAAGTTCAGGGAAAAGGGAGAAGTTCAGCTCAGAGTCAGCCAATATCACAGAGGAATTCAAAAAGAAAGGTTACACAGATTAATTCAGCCCATATCAAAGAACAAGCCTGAGAAGTGGGAACGCTGTACCCAGAGTTATGTGTGTTTTGTCTGCAGGGAGTTACCAATCTGCCCTGATCCCTGAGTTCTCCTAAACACAGTGAATTGAACCAAACTAAAACTCAAGGTGAAACTCCCAAGTTATGTGCAGGAAGTCATGCAAAAAAAGTACTACATCTCCTCCTGCATGATTTTCCAATTCCATCTCACGGAAAGCACCCGAAAACCCTCATAATTTCACGTGGTTTCAGGTCCACCCAAAGTTTCAAAGAAGATTCATGAAGAGCATAATGAAAGCTCCAAGAACCTCACTCTAATTTCAGATAAATCTAACCTGTTTTGGTGACATAATTTCTTAAGGTCTGATATTTTGAAATATATCAGTGACTAAGAGATGGAGTTATATGAACACATTAACCTAAAAGGCTGCTACAAAAAACCCTGTCTGGTCAACATTTAATGGCTTTTTAAACTTCACCTGAAATATCAACAGAATCATTGCACAAAAAAATAAATATGATGTCTCTCAATGAACTCTTTCTTTTACTTTTTTTTTCTGAAAAAGCCAATGAAAATAATACCTGTTGAGGCTGTTCAATTAGAGCCTAAACTGCTGAACCCAAATTCAACTTCAGAAACATGCAGAAAGGTTAGGGACATTTTGGGAACCTGAGCTGGCAGGAAAAGTAGAAAATTAAATTAAAGTTACATATCCATGAGACTAAAAGCAGAGCTAGAATGAATTGTATTTCAATAGGAAAGGAGTGCTGGAGTCACCTGTAAAGGAGAGGTTGTAATTCAGAGATTGAGGGCCTGCAGTCCACAGATCTTTTCCCATCTCCTCCAGGAATTCACTGTGGACTATTTTCAGTTCTTCCCTACAGAAAAAAACAACACAAATTGATAACATAACTGTTGCACCTCAGAAAGGAGTTGGGACTCTGAGCCTTAATTAATGTTTGTAAAGAGCCCTGAGAGACTGCAGGGACCTGAAGAACCTCAAAGCTCACTAATTCTTAAACATCCCCTGACCTCTTGTCAGACTTCACCCTTCTTACCAGCACTTATTTCTTTTTAAAGAGAGGGTGGAATTATTTAAAAGATAAAACAAAGATATGTTTCCTAGGTTTTCTAGTACTACAGTTGACACAATTTAAAAAAAAAAATAGATGAATTAACACACGAAGGCTTATTTCTCGCATTAAATAAATACATGTCTTAGGCACTGCAAAGGTAGGACACCCAAATATTTCCTCCAGCTGGCTGGTGGGTGCAAGGCACTGTTCCCTGCCCAGGGAGAGGCAGGAGCTGGCTCAGAACCAGGCAGAGGAATCCCAGATCAGCTGTGCTGACAGTGGGGAGGATCCAACAGCCCTGCCCTGTTCCCAGCCCTGCCGCTCCACGTGCTCCGTGGCTTGGGCAGGTCTCTCCATCCCTGCTCCCCCTCCTGCCTGCCTCATGCACTCAGACTGGGGACAGGGAGCCTCTCCTCACAGGGTGACTCCAGGATGCCAAGACATTTCGGTGTCAAAGAAGTCACAGTCCCGGGCACCTCAACCCGAGCCCTCGCCGCTGGGAAACCATCACGGCAACTCCTCTTCAGCTGCTCCCCTGGGGCTGAGAGCAGATTAAAAAACCAGAGAGCCACGTATCAAGGGGGATGTGACAGACAGAATGAGTGTCAGGAGGCGAGGAAGACACGGCAGCCTCTGAGGACTCACATTTGGCCCATCAGACACTGCTCGGTCCCTGCGTGCCAGAAATAGCAGCAGGAGCAGCAGCTCCCGGTGCCATCCACACTTCTGCATCACTGCAGGCTCTGCTGCACCCTAAACCCAGAGCTACTGCCTTCTATAATGCAAAAAGACAGCAGAACACTTTCATGAGAGAGAAAACAGGGAAAACAAACAGTAAAACCCAAATATCGTACTTATTGTGATAACAAATAACATGAACAGGTTGCTTAACTTACTGTGATAATGTAAAACACTAACAGGTTACCTAACTTGCTATGATTATAAATAACATTATTTAGGATTTATCAAGTGTAATGATAACCTTTTCAAGTTGACTCTAACTGCTGTTAGATTATAGCCATGGTCAACTTTAACTCTGTAGAACCAATGACTGGCTGTCAGCACAAAGGCAGCCCATCAGAAATATTCCTTCTCTTGCAATTCCAACATGACTGACTCTCAGCAACTCACACATGACCAGTTCCTCTGTCTTTGCAACACTCCTGATGAGGAACAAGGACCTCTATTTTATAGGCAGGGAATAAAACTGAAGAAAAATAAGTGACTCATCCAAGACCGCACAGGGAGTCCAGGGCACAACTTCAGGGTCTGCACCAATGGTTTAATAAAGGAAAATAAATTGTTTCACTCTGAGGGTAGAGGCTTTGCCCCATTAATAATAAAACAGGACAAGCCCCAGGAGCTGTACACAAACCAGGATCCCTCGCAGTGGAGACAATATTAAAGTGGCAAAGCTAATTCACCTGCTTGGTGTCTCTACAAAATCCCACCTTCGTGTTTCCCAGGAACAACTTCCACCAGCCACCAGAGCAAACATCAATTCCCTGGGACCAAACAGAACCATGATCCCAACCCTGGTGCACAGAGAAACCCCTCCCAGCCCGACCTACACGTGGGATGATTCAGTAACAGCCCCTAAATCTCATTATCTGACCCACACAGGTGGTCTCTCCTGCTTCCCTCTCGAACTGATTGTCCACGTGGACCCAACTGCAGCAGCAGGTCCCAAGTGACCATCTGATCACTTTTCCTGCTTAATTGCCATTTTTAATTACTTGCATGGCAACAACAAAAAGCCAATCCAGCAACGGAAATCCATTCTTCGAACAACTTCTGCCTCTTTCCTCAGACACCAACTATTGCTCCATAAGCCATTCCTGATTAATGTGGGGCCCTCGTGGGAAAGCCACTGCCTGTCTCCTGCTTTCATTTCCTATAACTTCTCTCCTTCAACCAACAACCCAAGTCCCTAAAAAGCAAGGGCAAAAGATCCTTCATTTTATTGTTAGGAGATGACAGCGTTTTTCCCCTTTGCTGTTTTCTTTCAGGAAGATAAATTAGCACTACATTTGCTCCTCCATGTGGTGGGATTTCTTAAATAAAAACGTATGTTATATATACGTAGGAACTTGGAACCAGAGCTGCGTTAGCCTGTTAACCATCCACGTTTGCTTCAGACTTGGCCAGCCACCTAGAAGACCTGCCAAGACCTTTCTGGCAGCCTCTTCCCAACAGTTCCAGGAAAACATGGAATATTCAAAGAATCTGAGGGCCTCCCGGCTTCGTTTGTCACCACTCTCCTTGCCCACTTAAAACTAAATCACAGGCAAATTGCTCTAATGCCCTATTAAAGATTTAAAAATGGTCTTCTCCCGGAGTAGGGTATCTGAGGACAGATCTGTGCTAATATATAATGCAAAACCCTCGTTCAGATGTGATGCAATGTGGCACGAGGCAGGGAGGGAGCTGCTTCACAAACCTGGAGCTTCCCAAGTGAATTCTGCCCTTCTTGGAGCTTCCAAACCTCCCTCGGACACCCAGGCAAAGGAGAGACTCGTTTTGTCCTTGTTGTTGCTCCAGCACTGGCTTCAAATTGACAGAGGGGAGGTTTAGATGGGATATTGGGAAGAAATTCTTGGCTGGGAGGGTGGGCAGGCCTTGGCACAGGTTGCCCAGAGAAGCTGTGGCTGCCCCATCCCTGGGAGTGCCCAAGGCCAGGCTGGATGTTGGAGCAAGCTGGGCTGGTGGAAGATGTCCCTGCCCATGACAAGGGGTGGAATTGGATGGGCTTTAAGGTCCCTTCCAACCCAAACCATTCTGGATTCTCCGAAATCACCACTGAGGTTTCAGACCTGTCACACAAGCAGCAAACAAAAATGCGAAGTTACACCAGAATTCACCATTTTTGGGTCTCAAGGCACTTCTTGGGCAGTGCAGTTGAAGACAGGCTTGAGTCCCACTGCCTAGAGCGTGTCTGTGACCTGGAGATCACCAAAAGACAAGATTCTATCACTGAGACTCAGAGCAGAATGAGATTGTGGACAGGTATTTCACAGCTAAAAATTGCCTCTCTACTGGAATATAAACGAAACAGAGAATCACAGAGCCTCTCACAGCAGCAATTCCCCCAGCAGAGTGTGGATATGCTCCTTCTGTTGAGGAAGGAAGGGACTGCAGTTCTTTAACTCTGGTGCAAAATCCCAAGTAGTCCCTTTATGAAATGCAGCCACCAGCACCTGGCCCTTGAGGATTTATTAAATGCCGTAACAAACTAAATAGCAACATAAATAGGGAATTATAAATATGATATTTATAATATCACACCCCATAAACCACATATTATTATACTATATATTCCTAAAAATAAATATAAATATAATATTGCTGATCAGTAACTTCCATCCCAAAGCCTACAAACAGACCTGATTTACAGTCCAACAACTACATCATTACCAACACAGCAAGTAGTGGACACTGATTGTATTTTGTCCATTAACACCTCCACTAGTTTAACTTCTCATTCACTAATTATTCCCACATTCAAATGAGGGCAAGCACGTGACTGAACTATCTTAGGGCTCTTCTAAAATAAGTTCCTCTTTCACATTTCAAAAGCCATTGGAAGGGCAGTTTCTCAAATCAACTCAAACCACAAGATCTGTAGCAGAGAGCAATCGAGTCTTGCCTTCTTCCCTTCCCATTTCCTTCCTGTTTTTCCTCCTCTTCCTCATTCTTTTTTTAAAATCCCATCCTCCAAATCCAACAACCTCCTTTATGAAAGGAAATGGGAAGCCAAGAGGAAGCTGTGGCATCCGACAGGCTGCAAACACCACTACTGCAAACCACTCTCTGATGCCACAACTGCTATTTGTTGTCAGAGGAGATGAGAGGCCACTTCAAACACAAGAAAAACAAACTTTTCAATAAACCCACACCAGTGCCATTAATCCCAGAATGGGTTTGACCTGCTGTTTGCAGCAATTCCTTAAATCTCACTTAAGCCAAGGAATACAAAGGGCCTGCCTACACTCTGCAGGGGCTGCAGTGACCCCAAATCTAGCACCAAGCACAGATCTCCAGCCAGGATCATCTGGGAGTGAAGCTCAGCTCTAACCTCACACTGCAAAGGGGGTGTGAAGGCAGAGCCAGGTGTGACCCCCCCTCGCTGCTTCTGGAACTTTTATTACTCCTGGCAATACCAGGGTTCCAGGAAATGTATTTAATGGGGAGGGAAAAGGTCACAGCATATGTTTAGATGCAGATCTCAGTCCAACTGACCTGGCTTTTGTACCCAGCCCTCCAATAATATACACTGCCTGGCCTTGGGTAAATCACTCACCTTCCTCTGCTTTCCTTTCTGGACAGGGGATGTTCAATCCTTTCCCACTGGAAAGGAGTTATTCAATGGTCCATGCATTTGAATAATTATTATTAATACTGCAGCACTGCAGTTATTCAATATATGAACCCAAGTGAAGGACAAACATCTATCAACCCTTCCCTTTTATTTGCCAGTGGCAAACTATGTGCTTAATCCTGTGCAGGGGACATATATAGACTGGGCCAGAATCCAGATTTCTCCAACATACCTCCTCTAATAGTGACAAGTATTAACAGCTTGGATCAGGCAAGAGCTGTCCTTCCCACTGGTCTTTCCCTGGGCTTGAACTGCTTGAACTTCATCCTAAACCTTGAAACAGAAAGTCTAAACTTGGCTCTCAAGTTTTCATAATGAATTACCATAATTCTATGGACGGTTATTAAAAACATAAGTATCTAATCTGCTCTAGACTTGCAAACTCCCCATTAAATTCTAAAAGCAATTAGGCTCCTTTTCTAATTAAATACTGGTGGGAAAGAATTGCTTTATAAAGCATTTTCCATTTGTCACCATTTAATTTCGCTACACGTCTCCTTGCATTCACTTTGTGAGACTGTGAGATTCTCAGTCTTCCTTTTCATTGTAACATCCATTTGGTTCTCCTTTCCAATGGTAACAGTTCACTGCAGCAGTTTCAGATTTCTCCCTGCTTTGGAACCTTTTTTGCTGGCACTTTTTTGAGTCACTCTTTGTCTTCTCAGATCGGGTGGAACAGCTCCTGTGCTCTGTGTCCTACTGTCTTTGGGCCCAAAAAACCAGCTCAGAGGACATTCACATTAGTGTGGAGCAGGGGTTTATCAACTCCAATTTTATAACAGGAGCAAGACCTTAAATGTTCATAAAAAATTCCATTCGTGGCTTCACTGAGATCTCCACTCGATCGAGGAGTAAAAAGGTCCAGCTACCCACCAAGAAGTCAAGGAGTAAACAAAATAAAAAGAATAAATCTGTCTTTCCTGACCATTTGCCTGCCTGGTTGTGGCTGTTCTGGACATCAACAGTTGCATGAATAAAAAAACAAAAATGCCCCATTCACAAAAACACTCGCACTCTACAACCGCTGGGCACGACGTTAATGCATCACTGTTAATTATAAATGACTTGAGCCTGACATTTGGTTAATACATTATGAAAGCCATAATGAACCCTGTGAGCCGTGTGTCACACCTGTAACAAGGACAGGATGAGGGAAATCACAGGTCTTGTCCTCAGAGGAGGGAGAACTGGCAGTCAAAGCTGATGCAAATCTCTCCTCGCTGACCCAAGAGAGGGCCCTGAACCCCAACACGAGGCTGCCTGCACTTGGGAACCTTCCAGATGATCTTTACCAAGCCAAACCACTCCATGATTCTATGAGAACACAGGAGGAAAACAGAAATGACAGACTACACCCACACTGCTCCTCAACAGGACTCTTCCAAGGGGTCTCGAGTGCAGGTGGTGGGAAGGAGGAGCCACTGCACATAACACAGAAGAATTTAGATTTCTTTCCATATCTGCCCCAGAAACCTGATTCTTGAACTTATTTAACCAAGAAACAGGGCCATGACATTGCACAAAGAGGCTAATTTCACCCTATAGCATGTACAAATTATTTGCTCGGGGAGAATACATTTTATATTTTGAATATATAAATCTAAATATATATGCAAGTGGGACTGCCTGGAGCATCAGAGGAGTCAGGGCAACAAAAAGTTTTGTATTCTTTAAAGAACAAATTTTAAAAAAAGGGGGTGGGGGGGTGTTGTTCCCAAATAAAGCATTTTGGATCTCCCTCTGCTATGGGAAACTTCCAAAATGGGAAAAGCAAGAACAAGGAGGGAAAAAGTCAAAAAGAGAGATGTGTGATCAGATCTCTGCTCCAGCCTCAGACTGCTCATTTCCAACAGAAGAGTTCCAAATATTGAGCTGCCCTATACCAGCTAATACTTTTATTTTCCAATTGCACTGTGCATTGCAATCGATACCTCCAGCTAATTGAAAGCACATCTGCTTCCCTTATAGGTTGTGCTTTTTAACTCTCACACACACAGAAACATCTTCCTTCTTCAGTAATTTCCAAAAGCAGCATTTCTGAATCTCTGTAATGAAATTGTCTTATTTTTAACTGTCTGAGCAGCTTTCAGGCAGGAGCGTGCTAGAATCCATACTAATTTGTGCAGTACCCCATCATCATCATAATTTAGCTCCCAAGGTTGCTGTGCTTGGAATTCCAGTTATGACACGAATTCTATACATTTTATCGAGATTTATAAATGGCATCAATAGAACACTTAGGGCCTTATTCATTAAACAATGAGTCATTCTGGCATTCCACTCTATTTCATCCCAGTTCTTACAAAACTTTTATGTACAAATTTGACTGTACTTCAAGCATCTGATTTAGAAGTGTTGCAGCATAGTTTCAGCTGGGTGTGGAAATAGATGGAAGGCACTGTTTAAAAAAAATAAAATAAAATAAAATAAAAAATAATGAAGAAGAAAAAAATCCCCCTAACAGTGAAAGTTTCATCTTCCACAAGTATCCCAATCATGTGAAAACACAGAAGCACAAGAAAATCTGCCATGGGCAGTATTGCAAGTATTTTCTTGGTGCCCAGCAAACCAAAGTATTTTGGAATACAACACTTTGGTAGGAATTCCTGGCAGACAATTTCAGTGGTACAGGGCAAGAGGCTCAAAGGCTTCCCTTAATTTGCAGTTTACAACTGTGGCACCAGCAAACCAATGATGGGGCAGGACCACAACATGAATTTTTCCCAAATAATTTCCCTAATGACACAGAGCTTTCAGATGGACTGGTTGTATTTTGTGTGTGTGTGATTTAAATGAGGACTGAGTAGAAAATTAAAGATTAAAGTTGAAAATTAAAGTAAGACCTGCCACCTATCCCTCAGGAAGGCACCTCCATCACAAGCAGTGGGTAACACAACGCCTGCACAGCAAACTTAGGACCCTTTTTTTTGGTCAGTAGTAACTGAATCCAGGCAGAGCACATCAGAACAGCAGTGAAATCATCATGATGGTGTGGGTTTTAGCCTTGTCTAACAGGTGGAATACAAAATCTTCAGGGACACGCTGGTTACCAGCCAGCTGGAATCTGAACTGTTCTCATTCCATCCAGGTAAACTGGGATATGCTCCAAACTGCTCTACAGTTTGGAGATCTCGGTACTTGTGACTATTTTACCTTCTCCTTGTCCTTTCAACCTCCTTCCTGACTGCTGGATACATGGCTGGGACGTCTGGAGTTCCTGGATGGAGCAGAATAGTCCTGGAAGTCTCAGCTCTTCTATCGAATCTGGGATTAGAAAACAGTCTCAGCAGTTGTTGGGGTGAGAGAATGCACAGACACACAACCCTACACAAGGAAATCGAGCACATTATCTGCCCCTGCCTTGGAAACCACTCCAAGACCTCCTCACTCCTTGGATGTCTCCAGTTTTCTTCGTTATGCACATAAACATCAGCGCCTGGTTTTTGTCTTCATCCTTAAGAAGTCACAGCAAACTTGGAATCCACCTCCCTGCCTGTACATCAGAACAGCATCTCCCAGGCAATCCCCACGCCAGGGAAAGCACAGTGCCCTCCACACCCCTGGTCCATGAGGGAGAACAGGGATGTGTGCTGGAGGGAACTGCATCATCTCTTCACTAACTCCCCCTCCACGCTGCTTTCTAAACTTCACTTCACGTTAAGGGACAAAAACAAGACCAAAGTTTATACATTTTGCTATCGCAGGGCAAACACTTTCCTGGGAGGGGGGATTGTTTCTCTTTGCGCTTCACATTCCAGTGGAAATGTTCCCTGACAAACAGTCGCTATCTCTCTGGCTATCCACAGGCTCGACTGAACAAGAACTGGGCATGGCACTGCAATGGAAAACAAGGAAAACAGGACACTTTTTTTTCCCATTCACTGCTCAAGCTGAGAGAAACAAAACTGGCAACTCGAGACACTGTTTGGGGCGAGCCACCTTCCCTTTGCTTCCTCCTCTTCTAATTTACAGCTCGTGAGTTGTTCCTTTACTCGTTGCAAAAGGTCCATAACTGTAACACTGCCACATTCTCCTGGAAATCTACTTAAATGGCATATGATAGAAGCCATATGATAGGAGCTTAATTACACAGAGGGCATATGGAAGGCATATGACATAAGGACATATGGAAGGCATATGATAGAAGGGCATCCGAGGACATATGATGGAAGTCTAATTAATTGACAATACATTCCTCTCATCAGGGGGAGAGCTGGAATGCTATTTTGTTCAGAAGAAAAATATGCACATTGAATTATGTTTCCCACTGACCATTCTCCTCTTCAATTATTGTTCTTTGGGGCAAGATAGAGCATTTAATTTACATATCGTACCATTAACATGCTTAGCATGAAGTTGTGTTTAACAGCCACAAACCTGCATGAGTACAAATAACCACTATTTTTGAACCTCTGTAACTGTGCAAAGCAAATCTAAAATGCTCCCACCAAAACAAGAAGAGGCTGTTCTTATTTGGGATTATTACCACTCCTTCACAAAGGTGCTCCCAGAGAAGCACCGAACAGGATAACAAAACCAACCCTTATGGAACAGCTCTGCACCGGATGGGAGTCAATGCAGCTTGTGGATTTACAGCTGAAAATTTGCACTTCCATCTGCAAAAAGATTTATGGGGAGGGCAGGAAATAAGGTACTGCCTAAAACATGCCAAAAAGATTCCTTGTTTTTAACTACCTGCCCCTCTTTAATGCATGAAACACAGAGGCAGGGTTGTGTTAGCCCAGAAAGCTTTCCTCATCCCAAGGAACTGCAGAGTTATAAACCGTGGCAGTGACATCTATAACCTCTTTGAAAACAAGATGAAATAAAATCCCACTAATCCACTCTTTGGATAATAAGTGAGCACTGTGTAAGGCTCGAGAACCCTCCAGCTTCTCTTTGCATTCAGTAAACAAGGATTTGCAGACATTCAAGTTTTTAAGTGCCATTTTACCAGGAAAAAATAATACAAAAAGAAACAAACCCCACAACATTTTTCTGGGTTACTTAGATACCTTGAAATACCATTATCATGCTCACACTTTCAGGTTAGCTTAATGAAATTTAGCCAGTGACAACTCTTTCTTTACTTCTATTCACTAAATCAGAAAGTTTACCCGCTAGCAGACAGTGCCTCTTATTTCTGGGAACTCAAAAACTCTTGCCAGAATTAGTCATATACAGAGTCAAAAGATCTAAGTTCAGGTTCTGGACCCTGACCAGGTCTTATGGCCACCACCTTCAGGCTGCCAAGGGACCTGAACCCTGAACACTCCCAAAATTAAGATGTTTGCTTTTGTGTTCCAACTTTTCAGAGACAAACCCCAGAGTTTCGGAGTTTTTTTTTTTTGCTTTGTTTTTTTTTAAGGTCACAAATATTTAGGCAAAATAAAAGCACAGATTTCAACAGCATTTAGGCACGTTTGGTACATTCCCTGCATTTTAGACAGGGGGGGGTCTTTTGTCCCACAGCTTCTCCACAACGTTTGGGGTGGTCCCACAGCTCCTGAATCTGAACTGCTGGGAAGGGAGAAGCAAACCACCTGTATTGGATGCACCCAGAAGCATCAACCTTCGAAACACCCAACATAACTGGGGAAACCTAGGAGAAAAACCCTCAGGAATCACCATTTGAGCTCAGTGTGATCACTTGTGGCTACCCATAAGAACAGCTCTGCTGAGGGCTGTGTAGATTTAGGTGCTTTCACAAAAATCCTTTATCCAGAAGCAGCAGCACCACAGGGTTTGACTCCCAGTGTAGAATTAACTGAGCCAGAGACTAATGGGAAGGAAACAGATACAACACAGGATGTTTTTACCTTTGGAGACCCCTGATCGCTGACCATGGAGGCAATAACACCAATAAGTTTCTGGGAATGTTACACACTGTGCTGCTGGCAGGTTAATAAAGTCACACAGGCATTACTAGTCCGCTGGATTTGCTAAAAACTCAATAATGCTGCACCAACAAGTGAAAAACCGCCGAGAGAACCAACATTTCTGGAGTTCTAGAGAGGCAGAAGAAAACAAAAGGAGTTTCCAGCTCATCTTACCTGCTCTTTGCCGGTCCACGTGTCCAGAGCTGAGGAATTACGGTCGCTCCTCCCGCCGTCGTGTGCAAGACCCAAGGAAAGCTAGGAGGTTGTACAGTTATCTCCCTTGGTGTAATTCTAAACTATACAACCTACTACCTCAACCTGGATGCATGCAGTCAAAAATGCTGAATCCTACCCACCACTCCACAGCAGGCACAATGCCAGGGGTTTCTACTTCAAAACAACAACAAAAAAAAGGCCTCCAGATTCTCAGGGTGCCTGATTTAGAAGTCAAAAATATGCTTTGTCTGGACGAACAGCAGCTCCCCTACACGTGTGATTAGATAAGACACAGCAAGGCAGGGTTATTCCTGCTAGGTACAGATCAATTCTCACACAAGAAGGAATTTTGTCCTTGCATTTAAAAAAAAGCAGTTTTCCCCCCCTCTGCAGCAGATGCATCTGAGCTACAGATGCACAGAACATACACATACATTTATTTATTTTTTTTCTTTTTTTTTTTTTTTTAAAGCACTTCAAGAAGGCTCAGGGTGAAATTTGTCCTGACATGTCTCTTCCTTTTTGAACACACGTAACGTTGACCTTGGAACAGGCGCCTGGGCTCCCGGATGTTTAAAAGGACGATTGCAGGAGTGGGATTAGGAGGAGAACTGCAAAAGGGGTAGAAAGCTTGAAGTAAATTTTTACCCTTGTTAAAATTAACCATTTTAGAAGATGGAACACTGAGCCTCTGCCAGCAGCCAGACAGTGTTCCCTTAGCAAGGAGCACGTTTTTAACTTGTATTAGTGCACAGTCAAACAACCAGGATGTTATCCTTGTGACTCACTCCCATCACCCACCAAGGTACTGCTTAAAGCTGAGTGCTGCCTTTTTATTACGGCTCACAAACAGGGATTAGCATCTTAAAATATGCTGGTGGGGCTGGCTGAGTGCTGAGGTGCTGCCTCTCAGGTGAGGGCACCCTGAGGCACAGCAGCTCCGTGCTGGGAGGGGATGACACGGGAATCAAACCCCAGCAACGAGCGCTGGGCTCTGCTGAATGCACATCTGCTTGGCTGGTCCTGTTTCCCTACCTCTACATTCCAAGAGGGAACAGAAATAAGGCAAGAAGATGAGAAATATCACTCTTCAAAATTCAGCTTGCAACACCAGAAGGATATTTGGAGAAAAAAAAAAAAACAAAACACAAAACAATCTTTCTGCAAGGTTTAAATGTCCATGATGTTGACAGTATCCAAATTTCTAATGACTCCATATTTGGTAAAGTTTACTTAGACCTAATAGTGAAAATACAACATATTATTTTAGTTAACAGCAGAGTCACTGTGAACTATTTTATTAGTTAGAACAGTGATCCCAACACAGCTCTGGATAATAAAACCATGGCTCCCTGGCCCTGCACTCTGACCAGGAGCTTTGTTGTTGTCTAAAAGCATCCAGAACCCATCCAAATCCTCGATGCAACATCATAATTTTTGAGGCTATAAACTGAACTCTTTCAGCATCACATGGCTAAACCCCTCACGTTTCCCACAACTTATCCTTGCAAGTATTTTTCTGCACCTCACTCTTGTAATATCTAACATTACATAATTCAAAGCATTGTCAAATTATTGATTCAACTGATCAGATATAGATAAATATATATTTTATATTATATATAAATATAAATTGCTATAATATTATGTCACAGAATCAACCAGGTTGGAAAAGACCTCTGAGATCATCAAGTCCAACCTGTGACTTAACACCACCTTGTTATTTACATAACATCATTTATATTATATCTATTTATACAATTTGCATATAGATATATCAATTGATCAGATATAGATGAGGAAGGTGCTCATTGCATTGAGACTAAAACAGGCACACCTTGCAGAGCAGGTACTTCTAAGCAGAGTTGAGCAAGAAAACTTGTCCAATAATTTGCTCCAAAACAGAAGATAAAGAGTTTTGTATCCTCAATTCAGCAAAGGTCTTTTCATACACAAACTAAACCAGTAAATTCATCTCAAAAAAATTCCTTTACTCTCCACGTGCACCTAAATAATCCAAATTTCTCAGCCCTGCTCCGAGGTGCCAGGGCACTGTTGCAGGAATTGCTGCTTGGACAACACTTCTCCTCCAAGTTCCCACATCTGCCAACGCCACTCTGCACAAATGTGACAGAAATAAGGGACCTGGATGTAAGCTGTGGACTCAAA